CTTCTTCTAAGATGTAATTGTGCTGTGCCCGTTTACAGCGTAGCTACGATATTTGCGCCTTTCGGCCGACACTTACTCTTCTGCAGGCATTTATTGACCGTGTTAGCCTTGCCTGTTAGTTTCGTGGTACAGTGCAGTCCTAAGGTTTTGTGGTCATCTTTGTTTCCCAGGTCACTTGTGGAGCCCCTACATCAGGCCAGTCCAGAGAAACTACGTCATGCTGGTCAGTCCCTCAAATCCGTCCGTCCCTTTGTAAAAATACAAAAAAAAAAACGAAACAAAAATTACATCGTTCAATTTACAGTGAGCAGTATCGGCTATAACTGTGGTTTGGTTTCTTTGTGCCAAGTATTTTGGCTAAGAAGTGTTAACTGCACCACAAACGAGTGGCTAGGACCGGTCGTCTAGTACCTGTTGATGGCTGTCGGGGAGGGGACTGGTGTGTACCATACGCACACATACACACACACACACACACACACACACACACACACACACACACACGCCTACGTTAAGAATGCATGTAAATGTTTTATTTTTCATCTATATTCATCCATTTAGGGGGGAAAAAACATGATCAACTTAGTGCAAGCAGTATCGGCTATAATCTGGTTTCTTTGTGGTAATGAAATTAGCTAAGAATTGTTAATTACACCAAAACTAGTGGCTTTGACCGGTACTCTAGCATCTAGTGAGGGTTGTGGGTGGGGTGGGGGGGGGGGGGGGGGAACTGGTTTGCACTATACACGCCCACACATACATGTATAGACATACGTGTACAATTACACACACACACATATATGTAACATATATATAGAAGATACATGTCGGCAGGCTGACACGTAAATGCACGCATACTTGTTTACATACACAGACACGCATATACACATACATGCGAACACACTCACGTAGGAATACATGTTTGCATTCACACACACACGCACGCACACACACACACACACACACACACACACACACACATATATGTAGATACCCACACATATACTCAAGACCTTGGGTTCAGATCCCAACAGAGATGGGTATTTTTTAAAGAGGCAGAAGCAGACCACGAGCATGCCCCGCCATCCAAGGAGGCTTTCATAAATGCAGAGCTAATACATGGTGCTCTGGTACCTGGCTCACCCAAGGAATCGTCACGTCCTGCTCATGACTGTTTAACCTCACTTCCACATGCTGAACCTCTCATTCATCGTGAGCTATGTCTTTAGAAGCTAACAGTATGCAGCCTGCAGACCTGGGATTTTAATTACCTACACGAATGAGTACTTCCTCTCTTTTTGCATGTTAGACTTTTACTGCAGTGGACTTCCTACAAAGATGCCTAGGGGCATCCAGTGTCGCTTGCTTGCTTGCTTGTTGTATCCCACCAGGACATCACACAAGCGATATACACCCGGTGACACAAAGCGTCACCATGCGGAGAAGGGTCATTCGTGGAGAGGTCCCAGAAACCCCTTTCATCCGTTACGGCCACATTCATGGCCCAGCTACATTCAGGCCCCGGCAAAAGCCGGGGTGGGGCTTCAAATAACGAAAAATTGCATCTCACATGGCGACGACCGATATCTTCAGTGTGGCAGTATACGGACACATGCGTCTGTTTCATTTTCCTCCCACATCATGGTTTATGAACTCGACATCTCTAGGGACTGTCAGCTCTGAGAATCCTTGACAGTTTTCTTCTTACAACTTCAGACATTGAGTGAGTATATTTAGAGCAATCAGCTGTTAGCTTGTGCTTGTCGACATCTCCACAGAGTTTGTCCTGCAAACGAGCGGGTATTGGCCAGAATAATTTGTTTTGTTCTGCGGGACAAGAACTACAACTAAAACCTCTGCGTACTTACGATCTACTGTGAGGCGTGTCGAGCAGCAAGCGATGGAATCAGTTTCTTTAAAAATCACTGGTTATTCAGTCATGGACAGATGGATGGATGGATGGATAAATGGAGCACAAATTAAATACTTTGTTAAAAAACACTAGTATGTTTAAAATATCGTACATTTTCCATAAATACAGTACAATTATCATGTTTCGCTGTGGTTAGAAATGTGGGTGTAATTCGAGCACATTCCAGTATTTATATTTGATATTTAGCCGCTGTTGATCGTGTTTACTTTTTCTCATTAACATATGTATGAATGAAATACCGTATGACAGAAGAGTGGCTTAGGTCGTGTTAACTTGTTGATAAATGGTCGAGTGGTTTATTATTGATTTACTATTACCCTTAGTTGGCTAACTGTTGACTTTCTTGGTTATTTATTGTTGAATAAGGGTTTCTTTGATGTTTAATGGCATGTTGGTTGGTTAACTGCTTGATTGTTTGACTGGATGGCTTGGTTGTTGCTCGCACGCTTAGTAATTTTTTGTTTAGTTAGTTTTAAAATAATGTTTTGTTCTTTACTTCTTGATTTGTTTGTTGATTTCACAACATATTAAGTTGTGGGAGTATCTTACAAAGGCGCGTTAAATTGTAGACATGAATTAAGTTGAAAATTTAAGTTCTCTGAATATACTAAAAAGGAACTTATAGTTGTGTGAATATCTTATTCTTCTCTTTGCCTTCACTGGCTGTAAACTTGGGTGGAAAGTTCTGGTTCTTCGTCCACTTCCGGACTTCAGTCTTGTTCCAGGTCATGAGTGTTGCGTGCACATCCGTTTTGCAGATCTAGCTTGTTTGTTTGCAGACTCTTGGCTCCTTGCCTCTCACTCAGATGTACTCCAACTTCGAACGATGCCCTCACTTAGTCGGCTCCTACGACATACTCGCTGGGAAGGCAGTGTGTCTATTCTTGTTTTCCCCCAACATGGGGCCCGGAGCCCACACGAGGATTATGTAAATCTGTTACATAGGAACGTTAAGCTGTGGGAATTATTACATAGAAACGCAAAGCTATGGGAATAAATTACATAGGAATGTTAAGCTGTGTGAATATATTACATAGAAACGCAAAGCTATGGGAATAAATTACATAGGAATGTTAAGCTGTGTGAATATATTACACAGAAACGCAAAGCTATGGGAATAAATTACATAGGAATGTTAAGCTGTGTGAATATATTACATAGAAACGCAAAGTTATGGGGATAAATTACATAGGAATGTTAAGATGTGTGAGAATATTACACAAAACAAATGCCTTACTATTGTGAGATCTGTTACCTGACCTCGGAAATGCACCAAGCTCCAACATAACGATGGGCCTAACTGGCGTGCTATCATTTTTGACATTTACTCCCTATTCTGTCAGCCCAGAATTCATTGTGGAATTCCCAGCTCCCGGCTGTGTACCTGGTCCACCCAGACAGCAGCGACGGGGACAATGGGTGATAATTGTTGACATATTTTAATAGATTTCAGAGGGCACCAATTTTAAAATTTCTCACCTTTCGAGGATGGGAACTGGCCCACGAACTTTTCAGTTCTCACCCTGGCGTTTAAAATTATAGTTTGGGTTGCCTTTGGGATCTTCCCTCGACCGATAACGTTTTCATTAGTTTGCAAATAATGTTTTCCCAAGTGATAAAGTTTACCCGTAATATTTTCCTTTTTCTTCGGGAATAAAAGTTGTTTTTTTCCCATGTCACCAGGTTTTCTGTCTGTGATTAGTGACTGGCAAGAACCATTATCAAAGCACTCCGATCTCCTTTATGTTTTTCCACAAGAGTAAAACAATTGATCACACCTAATATATGTTATTAACCAGACATTTTGTGCCCTTTGTCCAGTACTGGGCCAGTCAAAGTAAACAGCTTTTTCTACATTGCCTTGAACACCAGCATTTCCAGGCACGAATATGAAGCTTTAGCCAGGTGTTTGTGTTGCATTTAATTAAATAATCTATTCTGGTCTGAAGAATGGCTTTTCTAACGCATGTTCATCGAGTCACTCGCATGTATGGGTTGTGAATTTGCCTCAAATAAGTATTTGGAGTAGTGCATTCCAAATTAATATAGACTTTTAGTGCTTTGTTCCGATGCGATGAGTTATTTCCGTTAACTAATGTTATCTCACATAGGTTTGTCACTTATAACGGTTGGCACATCGTGTTGTCGTTTACAGATATACCTGTTGTTCATTTCGGCTCATTGCGTCGGTTAATAACAACTTGTCGCGATCTTAAAGAGTTTGATCGTAGCTGTTACCCTGTGAAAAAGAAAAACAAAAAAGTTCCCTGTAACTTTTCGTTGATTAATTGAAGCCGTCGTTCAATTCCGTTTACCCTGTCTTTCTGTTGTGGCTATAGAAGAAAGTTGAGGTTTTCTAACTAATATGCTTCAAACAATTCACAGCTCCAAGAAAAGAAATACTGACAGCCCCGAAGATCTGAACATTAAAAAAGACTGGCCAGTGGACATCTTGTCTTGGAAACTGAAATTTCAAATATTTCAAGCGCACGGCGGATTGAAAAGTATGACAGCACAATTAGTGACAATTCATGACACCAGGACAGAGGGGCAGGGGTAGACCAGCACAAAGCGGGTAGAGGATATGACATCTTGCGTAGTAAAGTTCACAGGGCGAGAGCTGGTGAAAGACCAAGCTTCTTTCAGGCAGACCGTGATGAGAGCGACGTTCTGCAAAGAACCTGCTACATGATGATGATACTTATGTAGCTGTCAAGTTATGACGCTCACAAATAATCATGTGTACCAACTAACTGACAGGTCTTTCTGATGCCAGGGTCCCCATGGCTCGACGTTTGCCTCAGCTCTAAAGGTCATGGGTTCGCTTCCCCAACATTTCATTCAGTTCACGAGTGTCTTTTTTACGGAGGTCCTTAGGGATCCTCTCTGGGGCGGTGGAGTTCATGCTTTGTGCGACTTTCGGTAGACGACTAGCCGTCCCGCGGAGAGAGGCCAAATCACGGGGGCAATGAAGTGGATCCTGACGAATGTAAACCTTCTAGTTGATGTAATGACTGAACTCTACGTAATCTGTATCAAATATTGTTTCAGCTGTTGGATCCGTCAGAGCATCATGTACCCAGGCAGACATCAGGAAAGCCAAGATGTGCACAGACAACCTCAAGAATGCATTTCACACAAACAGTTCCGCTCACTCACTCATCAGCCAGATAGATGAGAACAAGGTTATTAGTGCCTGTGGGTGAGTCCTCTTCCATGTTTTCCTCTTCTTCTTCTTCTTCTTCTTCTTCTTCTTCTTCTTCTTCTTCTTCTTCTTCTTCTTCTTCTTCTTCTTCTTCTCTTCTTCTTCTTCTTCTTCTTCTTCTTCTTCTTCTTCTTTTTCATTTGTTTTTCTGTTAAAGGTATTGAAACACAAGTTGCTATGGGAAGTGGTGAACATTACATAGAATCAATTGAAGAAGGGCGTAGAGACAATAGAAATGTCCGCACAATTGCTAGTGTCAACAGTTATAAGACAGGAAGATGGCTATATACTGAGCACATACCAAGAAGAAATGGACAGAGGATCACTTAACGGGCATTGCAATGGGAAACAAATAGCTCAGGTCGCGAAAACTTCTAAAGAAACTCTAAGACGAATGGTGATGTGAGATGTCATAAATACCAGTCTGGATTCCAACCATGATTCAGAAATAATGACACGGAACAAAACTGAATGGAAGAATGCAAGAATAATCTGCCAATTTGTGGTATGAACGGAAAAAAATAGGCTGGTGTTGGTGATGTTGTTGATGTTATTGGTGGTTTTGGGGAGGATGATGAGGATAATGATGATGATGTACAACCTGAAAAATGGAGACTATAAGATAATTTGATTTACAATTAACTATTAAATAACAGATAAAACAACATATATTTAAGAAGGCTTGAGTGTGGGATGAAGTGAGATTTATCTTCTTTTTCGTCTTCCACCCCTCCCCACCTACCCCGCCTTTTTTGGAAAGGTGGTGGGGGGGGGGGTGGGTCTCCATTTTCTTCTTCTCCTCCATCTGTTTCTTTTATGAGACGGCATATTCGACATGTTTACAACCAACCATTTTATATATATATATATATAATGAACAGACATGTATTGTTACGCACTCTTAGAAAGAAGTAGAAAGATAGAAACACGCACTTATTTCGAATCAATACCTGTCTGTTTTATATATATATATATATATATATATATATATATATATATATATATATATATATATATATATATATATATATATATAATGAACAGACATGTATTGATACGCACTCTTAGAAAGAAGTAGAAAGATAGAAACACGCACTTATTTCGAATCAATACCTGTCTGTTTTTTAGTGTGTGTGTGTATATATATATTTACACACATACACATAACTTTTTTACGCTCTCGAAGGTTCTGCATCTTTTTTTTCTGTGTTCCCCGTGTGGGTTCTGGGGGTCCCACTGTGGGGTAAAACAAGACAGAATCCCCCCGTGTGGGTTCTGGGGGCCCCACTGTGGGGAAAAAAGACAGAATTCCCCCGTGTGGGTTTTGGGAGCCTCACTGTTGGGAAAACAAGACATAATTCCCCCCGTGTGGGTTCTGAGAGCCCCACTGTGGGGAAAACAAGACATAATCCCCCTGTGTAGGTTCTGGGAGCCCCACTGTGGGGAAAACAAGACAATCCCCCCGTGTGGGTTCTGGGTGCCCCACTGTGGGGAAAACAAGACAGACCCACTGTCTCCCCAACAAACATGTCGTCAGAGTAGACTAATTGGGGACTTCCTTCGAAGTGGGAGTACATCTGCCCGAGCGGCAAGGAACAACCAACTGCCCTCAAATAAGCCAGTAAAACGGATGTACACGCACAACTTAAGTCCTGGCACAAAGCCAAAGCCTCAGTGGATCAACAACCAAGACTCTGCTAGAGTTCATAGCAGGTGAACCAAGAAGAAGGATGAGACGATTTCTGTGTATTCCGATTTCATCAGATTCTGAGCAAATAAAATCTTCACATTCAACCAGCACCCTCAAATTGGGAGCTTTTGGTAATAATTGTGACTAGGTTATTTGCGCCATATATAATGACTTAACATTGTTCGTCACCAAGTAGCCGGGAAAAGGATTCTTGCAGCGCTGATGCGATCAGAGACAGACCCAAATACTGGGTCTACTGGCCAGTCAATGGGTGACCCAATCGCCGATGATGTCTGTGTATTACAACCAACAAATATTTATTGGAACACTCAGCATCTACACTTTGCCATAATTGCCCATAAAGACAAAGTATCCACAGTTGGTCGCCTATGCTCTAGCATCGATTCTGAAAACCATAAATTAAGTACCAAAGTGTTGCCGCCATCATTGTCACTTCTGGTGTTTGTTGTCCTCAGAAACGGCGACCTTCTGACGGCCATCAACTGTATCGAGAGAGTGGTGGAACAATGCAAGCACGCCAACACGGACACGGCCCACTACTTTCTGGGGATGGTTGACGTGGAGAAAGCCAGGAGAACCGTTAATTTTTTCTGTACTAACGTCAAAGGTAAGTACTGGCATAGGTCTCACAGTATGACCGCAATATGACGACGAGTTAGCGTAATCAAAGACCCCATTGGCACACCTTGAAGTGTTTTCAAGCAGTGTTTTTCAAACAGTTGAAACCCCTGCCCAACAAAACAATAGAAATTATTTTACAGCCTACGTGATAAACACGAAACAAAAACAAAATAAAGCAGCAGTTTATTTGTTGAACCCCTGTCACAAAATTACAGTTTTTAACTAATGCCTCATCTGCTGCTGCTTAGAGATTTAAAACAATCTGACCTATGTGTCTGGGGCGTTGTTTCTGATTTACAAACTGCTACAGTAACATCCATTTGATTTTTATTGTTCACACACCTGATAAAGTAGGAGCCGCTGTGGCACAGTGGCTACACGCTCACCGCGGATCAGAGGGTCATGGGTTTGCTCCCTCGGGAAGTCCTACTTTTTCCAAATGACCTTGGCTCCCAGGTTGACCCAGCCTAGAGTGGGTACCGACTGCAGTCCCTGGAATTGAATGTGGTAGGCGTGATGCTGACGACATCACCCATCTTGAGCTGATTGGTCTATAAAATATAGTTATAGCCCTATATGCTGTATACGCCTAAAGGCGTAGAAAAGGGTCCTTTACTTACCTGATAGAGTCTGTTAACACAAATAATGTATTAAGTCCTTGTTGTGTTAATCCTACAACATGGAAGAAAAAAACCACCTACTCTACCTTGTTACATAACTTAAATATAATTTGTTTGCAACCCATGCAGACTTTTAGAGGTCCCACCCCACAGGCTGAGGAACACTGTTTTCTAGACATATACTGCCAGTCCATATATTTAGAGATCAATCAGCACTTTGATTAGTACCATGGTAGTAACGTTTATTACCCAACATATTTACTTATACTGTGCTTCTGGTTTTAGACCGAGTCTTCCTGGGAGCCAAAGTCATTTAACATATCCACCTCAATAAGTTTAGGTTAAGTAGCCTGATCAACATCGTGGCACACGGGTAGTAACCTACAAATGCTGCATTTTACTTCTAACTCAAGCCTGAGTTCGAAGAATCTCAGTGCAGTGCACAAACTCTGTAGCACCGGCGAGATCCTGAAATACATTTGGGTAGATTTTTAACTCCAAATGTTGCTAGGGCAGCGCCGTTAGGCTACTCTTTTTTTCAATGTCCAACTGCCAAGGAATTTTTCACGTGATCAACAATACACACAGGCCTCCGATCTCACTACTCAGAGACCAAGGGAAATTACTAGAAGTCCATGAGAAAAAAATCCCAACCTCCACCGGGGCTTGAACCCGGGACCTCTAGCACTCGAGGCATTTGCCATGCCTCGAGACCTAGTTCCACTACCTCAATAGACTTAGACCCATGTCTTCTCCCAGTCAGCAAGCAATGTGCACAGCCAATTTGAGGATCTTCTTCGTCTCCATCTCCAAAATACACAGCCAACATTATGTCTATGTTATGTGTCCACATTAAACAATAAGTGTCTCCTTTCTGTCCATCTCTAGTGTACACAGCCAACGCTAAATGTATCGCTGACAATCACAATGAACAGAACAGTTGTGCCGCGGAGGCCAAGAAGAACTTTGACACTCAAGCCAAGGCAACTAAAAACATGGATGTTTTGATGAGATTTCAGTGCATGTAAGTTCATCATCATCAGCATCATGTCTTCATTCATGTAAGTTCATCATCCTCAACATCATGTCTTCATTCATGTAAGTTCATCATCATCAACATCATGTCTTCATTCATGTAAGTTCATCATCATCAACATCATGTCTTCATTCATGTAAGTTCATCATCATCAACATCATGTCTTCATTCATGTAAGTTCATCATCATCAACATCATGTCTTCATTTATGTAAGTTCATCATCATCAACATCATGTCTTCATTCATGTAAGTTCATCATCACCAACATCATCTTCATCGTCAATCATCATCATGTCTTCATTCATGTAAGTTCATCATCATCAACATCATGTCTTCATTCATGTATCAACATCATGTCTTCATTAAGTTCATCATCATCAACATCATGTCTTCATTCATGTAAGTTCATCATCATCAACATCATGTCTTCATTCATGTAAGTTCATCATCATCAACATCATGTCTTCATTCATGTAAGTTCATCATCATCAACATCATGTCTTCATTCAAATAAGTTCATTGTCATCAACATCATGTCTTCATTCATGTAAGTTCATCATCCTCAACATCATGTCTTCATGCATGTAAGTTCATCGTCATCAACATCATGTCTTCATTCATGTAAGTTCATCATCGTCAGCATCATATCTTGATTCATGTAAGTTCATAATCATCATGTCTCCATTCATGTAAGTTCATCATCATCAACATCATGTCTTCATTCATGTAAGTTCATCATCGTCAACATCATGTCTTCATTCATGTAAGTTCATCGTCGTCAACATCATGTCTCTATTCATGTTTATTTTGTGTTTAATCTTCCAAAAAAAAACTAGCTCTCGGACAACTAACGTCATGTATTTTGTAGTCTTGTTCATGGATGGGTGGATTTTGCATCTAAGTGTTCTTCTTCATCTTTTTCTTCTGCATTCGCTTTAAAATTGTGGCTGGCACGCTGTGTTATCGTTTACAGTAAGGTTGTGAATAAATGAATGAGATTCAACCCCATGAGGGCATCCACCAAGCGATAAACACCCGGTCACACAAAGTGCCACCGTGTGGATGAGGATCGCCCGGGGAGAGGTCCCAGAAACCCCGTTTAACCGTTAGGTTATATTAAGGCCCCTGACTCCAGCTGGGGTGGGGCCTTAAAATAACGAACAAATTGCACCCCGTATCGAGATGACAGACGATATAAAAGGTTGTGACCTTTGATTCACTTAAAACAATGAACCTGTAAAAACAGCCGGTGGTGTTTAAGTAAGTACTCTTCCTTTGTCCTTAAAAACGTAGTTGACCCATTCTCTTTTGGTTTACTTCTAGACTGTAATAGCTGCTCCTTTTGCATATTCACCTCCAAAATCAGGAAATTCCTAATTTCACGGCATGCGGGTGTATTCTTGTTTTTCCAGCCGATGTGGTGGGCTACATGGTCTCGAGGCAGGGTGTTCGCCTCGAGTGCTAGAGGTTCCGGGTTCAATCCCCGGTAAGAGCTGGGATTTTTTCACGTGGACTTGGACTTCTAGTAATTACCCCCCCCCCCAGACCCCAGACCCCTTTCCCCCCCCCCCCCCTGGTAGTAAGATCGGACCCCCAGTGTGCATTAGCCCCACCCCCCCCCCCCCCCTTTCCCAGTTTGTCCTTAAATTAAAAAAAAATGCTCCTTTGCCCAAAAGGACAAACAGCCAAAACTTTCCACCAGAGTTTACAGCCAGTGAGCATGAAGATGAAGAAAAATTCTATTTTCTTGTTCTTAATCCTGTGACATGTATGGTAACCAAAGTAATCCATTTCTTGCATGATACCGCTTGGTGGCCAGATTTATTTGATGTTCAAACCCATATTTTTCTCAGAGATTGTCTGCTGTACAATTTTAGCTGAAAATAGTAGTTTGGTTTAGTGTTTTTTACATGTTATATTGTCACAGGGAAGATGCATGTTCTCAGAATGATTTGGTACTTCTTTGCATGTCGTAGATTCTGCACTTACTGTTTCATATCTTTGTTTTGCACTGTAGCACATCTAATTCCTTTACTATAACATGTCTGTTTAGTGTACTGTAGAGCATCTAATCCCTATACTCCTATATTATAGCATGTCTGGTTTATCTACTATAACACATCTAAACCCTATACTTTAGCCTATCTTGTTAGTGTACAATAGCGCATCTAATCCCTATACTATAGCATATCTTGTAAGTGTACTATAGCACATTAATCCCTATATTGTAACATATCTTGTAAGTGTACTATAGCACATCTAATCTCTATATTATAGCATATCTTGTAAGTGTACTATAGCACATCTAATCTCTATATTATAGCATATCCTGTAAGTGTACTATAGCACATCTAATCTCTATACTATAGCATATCTTGTAAGTGTACTATAGCACATCTAATCCCTATATTATAGCATATCTTATTACTATACTTTCAGATTCTTCCATGAGGTGGTCAAGTGTGTAGACAAAGTACTGACCCAGAAATGTTCAAATGAGGCAGCAGACATTGTCAAGACTGTCCTTGTAGGATTCGAACCTCCTGTCTGTAGCACCATCTCCGGGGGAAGTACAGCAGAAAGAGCGGGAACTTATGATGTGCAAAGTGATGCCAGATACGATAACAGAAACCAGGCATCAAGTTGCCAGTTGAAATTAAATGTGTTGCTTGTTCTATGTTCTTTAATCTCAGCACTAAAATTTTTGATGTTTTAATAATTGTTTTTGCAATATTAATTGTTCTTGATGTATCAATTGTTCTTGTTCTTTAATTGACTTTTATTTATTTGCATATTTTGAGTTGTTTTGACTTTAAATTTTTGTGGAAACAAAAAACAAAAATAACACTACACACTATCAAACCTATTTAAACAATATTTTTGTCAATTTGATTTTCCAAATTTAACGCAAGACTACTGTATTTATAATGGCAGATTTTATACAGGCCATACAGTTGACATGAAATGCAAGGTATAAAATCAGAGAATACCTACTTCCTGCCTACATCCAGCAGAAGCTTACATGGCCAAGTAATCATGGATTTGGATTCACATCCAGACAGATTGTAAAATAAATTTACTTTGGCTTCCAAGTGCAGGCAGCCAAAACTGGGTACCGGTGAAAGTGAGGGGGGCAGACATGACGTCTACGATGTCGTCCATCAAGTTTGGACTAGCATTCAGAAATATGAGGCTAGGATCACATGCCTCATCTGTGAAAGGGATCATTTATTTCACTTACTATTTGAAAGGCAGCAGCAAATGTGGACCAACAACAATCTAATTGACACTGATCATCAACAGATCATGGCTGATTAAGTCCCAATATTTAGTCCCAGGAAAGCATTTTTTATTTAAATACAAGGGGAATATAATTTTTAAAACGTAAGAACAGATTTGTGTAAAGACTATCACACTTCGGTATGGCTAGCTAGCTAGCTTAGTTCAGTATGTTCCACACAGAAACAAAAATGGCAGCTTATAGACAAGGGGTTTCCTAACTCAATTTTTTCAAGGCAAAATCCCATTTGTAATTTATCACAATCACTATAGAATATTATTTACTGAAAATGTCCATAGCAGAAAACTCAGCGATAGACATTGAATCAGTGGTGTTTGTGCAAGAGTGTGTATGTGTGTGAGAGAGAGGCATAGGAAGAGATAGACAGAGTATCAGAAAGAGTAAAATTTTTCAGCCATCACGACAAATTGGGAATATGTTGGTAGGCCTGTATGCAGTTGATGAAAGGCACACAACAATATCTATGTGGTCAGTTGCATGACAACTGCCTTTCCAGGAAAGTTCATTGTACTATTTTTATAAGGTTAGATCAGCCCAAGTGCCATGAATTATGGCATGAAAGGGATTAGAACCTAGATTACCAAGCAAACAGGTTATTGCATTAGCTCTAATTCTGTTCGAGCTGCTGTGTATGTGGACATTTTGATGTCACGGTATCACAGTGCCTAGTATGCTTGGTCCCAGATTGACCAAGTAAAAAATTTGTACTAGAAAATTCTATGGGAAACAAAGGTAACTGTCATGATACTGGCTACATCTTCCATATATAATGTCAATATGACAGTGGTAACGCTTTTATCATTGGCGCTGAATTTATCTAATTCTAAATAATTTCTTTTGATTTTGTCTATGTCTAATGTCACCTGTTGGAGATGACTGTATTTATTCACAGAATAATAAATTTTGTGTGCGTATAAAATTGATTGTTCAGATGCTGTTATTTTATCAAAGAATACTAAAAATAAAAATATTCAGGGCTTTTCCAGTGGTAGGCAACAACATACAGTACCAAGACCCAATTGTTTAAGGTAACATGGTTTTCAATGCTACTGTAATATAACACTTTGCAATCAGTATCTACAACTTTTTTCGTATACTTTGTAGTTGGTACCGGCACCTATTTTTTTCTAGAAAGAAGCCCTGAAAATATTAATAATACAACTAGGCACATGCTTGAGATAATAAATAAACATTTCGACCAGAATTTATCAACAAATAAAATAAGAATACTTTGCTACTTCCTTTTCTTCATTTCCACTTTGACTGTTTCAGGTGTCGAGGCCTCAGCCTTACATATATCATGCTGACGTCGAATTCTCTGATATTATCTTTCCATCTTCTACATTGTACTCTACAGTCTTCTCCTCTTTTAGTACACGAACTTAATGGTATGGTGTCACAAGCCATTCTCCCTAAGTGGACAAACTATTTTATATATTTGCTTTTTTTTTGTGTATATAATTTAGAACTGCTTCTGTGCCGACTTTTTCTCCCATGACTTAGTTCCTGATTTTAATCTCTTCTGGTCTTCCTCAAACAACCCTTCTCAGACATCTTTCTGTTTTCCATGGTTACTAATGTTCTGTTATGGTTTGTTGAGAGTGACTACGTCTGTCACTGATAGCACAGGATCCAAATGAATATGCTTGTGTGAGATGTTTTTTTGTGCTGATTGGGGATTGTTGAATGGCTTTGTTTTGTTTTGTTTTTTGTTGAAGGGGGCGGGCTTAGGCGACTCAATATGTACTTAGTCTGCTTTACTGCATCAAATCTAACTTTGTTCTCTTCTCTGGTCTACATTTCTGCATCGGGTTTTTATGAGGCATCAAGTGTGAGCCTTGATGTATGCTACATGGATGTTGGTATTTACGATCTCGGATATTCCATCTATCCATCGCTTACGTGGTCGACCTCTTGAATTGCTTCCATTATGTCTAATTGACGGGACTCTATGTGGTTCACTGTCTGGTGGTAGGCTTGACACCATTTGATCTGTTGTCTGTTATTGTAGTTTAGTAGATTTGGCTACAGAAATTAAATAACACATAAACATTTTCATAGAAAGGTAATCCATATGGCAATAGAGCATAGACAGCAATCCAGTGTTATATTTCTGTCAATGGCCTTTTTTTCTGTCAGGTCAGATTGGTTATTGAGACAGGCATTGATGTTCCCTGGAACTGGCGAGTTCATACTTTGTACAGTGCTTTCTTCTTCTTCCTCTGATGGTTATTCCCCAGTGGAGAACAGGCCCTCAGCCAACTCACATCAAGTCATCCTATTCTCTGCTATTGCATGCAGCTCACTTTATATCATCTGTCTTTTTTTAACTTCACTTTTTAGTTCTCTTCGTGTGTTCTTTTTGTGTGCCTTTATTTGTATGACTTTGTGGGTTCCAATATTAAGACATTCTAGTTGTACTGTTTTCAACGTGTGTCCTATCCAAAAAAATTTCAGAGATAGCTAATTTGCTTTGTAGAAAGAGAGAGCCTGGTGGGGGAAAAACCCGGTGCATTCATCATTATCTCACCTGTAATCATTGGACAGTGGCTGCGACATTAACCCTTTCTCTACTTCCCGACTTTGGTCTTGTTCCAGAACTCGAGTTTTGTTTGTACATCTATTTTACAGATCTACCTTATTTTTATGCAGACTGTTGGTTCCTGGTATTTCAGGCACTTACCACATGTTTGCAGACAAAAAAGGGGGTGGGGGTGTCTATTTTTTTCTGTTTACCTAACATGGGATCTAGAACCCACATGGTAAGTATATGGCAACGTGATGGTCTTTTGTAACCCGATGTGGGTGTCTGAATGTCAATTCCTGTGAGATTCTGCTTTACTCCCGTATATGTGTATCATGTCCATCTACTATTCTAAAAAATGCTGCATCAAAAAAAAAAAATTTTTTAACTGAATTATTTTAAGTACCACGGTACCAACAGATGGAAGTTATTTTTAAAAAAAAATGAAATGTAGAAAAGCGAAGGCAAAGTCCTTTCACTGGAAAAAGAATTTTGTGAGCATATATTCTTGGTCGACTGGGGTGACACAGAGTGATGTTGAAGCTTCAGTGTCTGACGTATAGAGCTGATTTTTAGACAGTCTGTGTGACTTCCGAAAGGATCAGTTTCAAATGTCGTATAGTACGAGGCTTCACTTTCTGTTCTCACCTTGTGGGTTCCAGGTCTCCACTTGGGAGGGGGTGTTGAAAGGACAATGAGGAGTAAACATATTGGTTCCCCTTAACAATGATGTCGTAATAAAATGTGACTAATTAGGGATTTACTGAAATCAGATATGCTGGACCAAAAGAGGTAGATCTCGCAGCCTAGATGTCAGCTGCAGAACACTTTTGAGGGCAAATGCCAAAGACAAATATATCCACTTAAATGTTTACATAAACATATGCATGTGTTATATCATTTAATTATATTCATAAATTTCTTTTGTATATATATTTTGGTACTTTTTTTATTTATTTCTTCAAATAAATATGCACTGTACATTTGATTTCTTTATTGCTGCTTCTATTTCACTACCAGAAGGTTTTTGAGGAAATTTGCAAAGGAGGAAATGACTGTGCACAATCATGAGGGATTTGCTTTTTAAGAGACCAAATACACAGTGGAAATAGCCAATGGTGAAACCATATTTTCACAGTATTTTGTGATCAAATGCAAAACGTAAAATAACATATTGTGCAATGGATGAAACTCACAGGCAACAGCGAATGACAAACTGTGAGTTTTCCGGTAGTGAAAGTTTATGTGTTGCATCGCCATGTTATCTTTTTACATTGGAATGAAAATTTGCAGTGTGTTATATTGCTGAAATGTTTTAAATGTGGCTGTGCTATTTTCAACCTCATATACGAATTACTTATCAACCCTGACAAGAGGCCGAGTCAGTCATCCTTTCTCTTCAGCCTCCTAACATGAAATTCAGAGATTATGTAAGTGTTTTCACATTCATTTACAGACTTACACATGTGCAAAGTCGTTTTTCTCAACTTTAAACTGTTTTGCCAATGATCAGTTGCTGAAACCTGGGGGTTAGGGCATCATGAGTACCCACCTGTACCCCCCTCCCCCCCTAAAAAAAAATCTGCTAAGGGTTTCGTGACCCACTCTCCCCAAATCATGTGATCACGTAACTGTGGCAATGTTTTTTTTTTCTCTTTTACGACATGATTGTTAGAGAAGCAGTGGATCTATTCTTTCTGCTCCCCCCTCCCTCGCCTTTTGTGCAATGGGCCCCAGAACCTACAATGGAAGCACATGATATATAGTTTTATGAATTTGATTTTTGTTAAACATTCAATGTCTACTTCAATTGTTTTCCTGCTTCCTTTTGCATAAGGCTTTATTATAAATGCTTCTTACTTTCAAATGTCTGACTGTCAATCAAATTTTTTTTAAACATTATATCGTCACTTGTTTAAAAAAAAGTCCAAAAATTTGACCAGGTAATTTGTTTATCTTTGCACAGATGATGTTGCTTACGACACTGAAAATATCCGTAGTAATAACATCTCAACCAAGCCTAAAATGTATACCAGGTAATGTTCTGGAAAGTAAAGGCGGTCTGTTATGTTGACCATATCACCTGCATGCTGATTGGTCTATACAAGTATGTGTGTAGCACCATATCTTGATTTTCATTGCTACTCTTAGTACGCATACATTAATAATACTGTACCATCAATGCCACCCACATAGGGCTGCAAGTTAGTTTGTAGCAGAAGGGTGTCCGGATTTAACTTTTGTTCTTCTTTTTCGCATTCACCTGCTGTAAACTCCGGCGGAAAGATCTGGTTGTTTGTCCATCTCTGGACTTTAGTCTTGTTCAGAACTGAGTGTTGCATGCACTTCTGTTTTACATATCTGACCTATGTGTATGCAGATTGTAAGTTTACTGTCTCTCAGGCAGATGCATTCTGACTTCAAAGGAAATGTAAAGTTTACACAGGGTGTCTTGGATTACTTACCTGTTCAACAGAGATCCCAAAAGTAACTTCTTGTGTCACTGGGGGTTTCCCGTGTGGGTACTAGAGGACCATTTTGGAGAGAGAAAAAAGGAACAGACCCACTGTCTAAAATTGGGAAAAAGTAATACAAAGTCTCTAATCAGGGGTGTTTCCTTCGAAGTTGGAGTGCATCTGAGAGGCAAGAAACCAACATCCTGCATATTAAAAAAAAACAGATCTGTGAAATGGATGCGCATGCAAAACTCAAATTCTGAAACAGGATCAAAGTCCAGAAGTGGACTGAAAAACCAGAAATTTGCATCAGTTTACAGTTGGTGAATGCGAAGAAGACTGAGTGTCAAATCTTCAGGTTGCAATCTCAGTGGGGGAATACAAAGAAAATGCACAAGCATAGCCTTGATTTGTATTGTTTAATTTTCCTTCCATTTTTCCAATGGACAATCTTACTTTCAGGACAGCTACTAATTCCTTATTTTCGCAGAAATAATAAAACAAAATTGTCACAACTGTACTGTGTTTTAATATATGGGTCCTACTTCAATGCTGAGATGTTGCAATAAGCATCTTCAGCAGTCAGCACATAGTTCTACTTCTGATGGCACCAGTAGAAGTCTCCATCTTGTCTTTCCTCTAAGCGTTCATCCTCTGTCCCCATCTTCAGCAGTCAGCACATAGTTCTACTTCTGATGGCACCAGTAGAAGTCTCCATCTTGTCTTTCCTCTAAGCGTTGATCCTCTGTCCCCATCTTCAGCAGTCAGCACATAGTTCTACTTCTGATGGCACCAGTAGAAGTCTCCGTCTTGTCTTTCCTCTGAGCGTTGATCCTCTGACATCTTCAGCAGTCAGCACATAGTTCCACTTCTGATGGCACCAGTAGAAGTCTCCATCTTGTCTTTCCTCTAAGTGTTGATCCTCTGTCCCCATCTTCAGCAGTCAGCACATAGTTCCACTTCTGATGGCACCAGTAGAAGTCTCCATCTTGTCTTTCCTCTGAGCGTTGATCCTCTGTCCCCATCTTCAGCAGTCAGCACATAGTTCCACTTCTGATGGCACCAGTAGAAGTCTCCGTCTTGTCTTTCCTCTAAGCGTTGATCCTCTGTCACCATTCTCCTCGAACCATGATGATCTGTTTGTACTTCTGTACTGTACACTCACTTCCAAAGAACCTTGACAACATCTAGCTTGTCATGCATCAATTTACCCCAAGTGGTACAGCACCAGCCATTCTGTCTGCCTGTTCATTTCCCAATGCATCTGAAAAGCCTGGAGAAAATATCCAAAGATGCTAACAACCCGGGATTTCTGAGACGATGCGGAGAGCATGCTCTGCGCTCATTGCGATTTCAGGTTTGCACAAACTGGGAGCCGTGTTGGTCCAGTGACTACAATGAATGAGGTGGTGGTACATCGAAAGATGGGATAGTACTGCCATCCCCCAAATGTGTCCTAGCCATGTGAGCCTCTCAAGACTGAGTGTAGAGAAAACTGCTGTGATTTCAATAGCTCAACTTCTTGCATCATGACATGGGCAGTTTCAACAATGAGTTGACTAAATCTGATTAGATAGCATGGTGTTTGTAAAGACATGATGGCCAACTGGCAACACAGAAGAAAACAGACAACACAACAACTAAAAGAGATTTTCTATCTGTAATGAAATAAGCAGAAATAATTTCCACTGCTATGCATACTTTCCTCTCTCACACACATACACAATCAGAGACAACACACATACACAATCAGGGACAACACACATACACAATCAGAGACAACACACATACACAATCAGAGACAACACACATACACGATCAGAGACAACACACACATACAACAATCAGAGAGACAACACACATACACAATCAGAGACAACACACATACACAATCAGAGACAACACACATACACAATCAGAGACAACACACATACACAATCAGAGACAACACACATACACAATCAGAGACAACACACATACACAATCAGAGACAACACACATACACAATCAGGGACGCTTCCTGTTAATTATGTTTATTCTGTACATTTCTGCAAATTAAGTTCATTCCAATGCCTATCTCCAAATTTGTGATGCCCTGAAACTGAACATTCCGAAATGAAACAAAGAAGTTCAAAATCAATTTGGACATTTTTTTGTTCTCCATTTATAAAAACAAGAGATTTCATGAAATGTTTTTAACTGCAAGCAATTTGTACTCTTTAACGTGTTTCTTCTGTTTACTTATTGGCTTATCCTGCAGCTTTGACAATAAATGATATCTGAGGCTATTTTAGCTAATGCCACAGCTCCAATCAGCACGCAACAAAAAGGTTGACCTCTGTCGACCAGTCTGACAGTTCTGGCTAGCATCAACCTCGGCATATGAAGAAAAAACACCCAGCTTCTACAGTTAAATATGGTTTAATATGACTATATACACAAAACTGCTACTGATATGAAGGTTGATTTGCAAATATTGAACTTCTTTCAGTTATAGAACTAACAGGAAATTGTGGGGCTGACTGCGATGGGTCCTCCTCCATCATTCGGTTTGCTGTGGGGAAGACGGAGAAAAACACATATTATGGCATTTCAAAGAATGAACAGAAGAAGAATAGAAGACTAAAACAAAAAAGAATGAATATGAAGCAACTGAGTACAGAAAACTCAGGTGTTGTCTTTGCTGTCAATACATAAAGTGGGGTGATCTTCTGCCATTTATCCTCCCACACAGTGTGGTTATCTATTTTTGCCACTTATCCTCTGCTAGGTTGCAAAGATAATGACAATGAGAACAAATCAGGCAAACAGTAATGTTGTTTCTCTTAATGGCACCCCACTCCAAGACGGGGAGACGTACACTTATTTGGGCAGTAATGTAAAGATGGGAGAACTAATAGAGATATTAAACTAAGAATAATACAAAAGGCAAGAGAAGCTTTTAATTTTATAGAAATATTCAATTTAAAATTGTAAATTCTAATGTCAAATCAGTACTTTTGTAAGGAGCGGAAACATGGAGAACTAGGGCAATTAGTAATAAACTAGACATTCATTAACTGGTGCCTGCGCAGAATTAAATGGTATGTTAGAATCACTAATGTAGAGCTTTGGGAGAAAACTAAGCAAGCTCCAGTGGACCAAGAGGTAAAGAAAAGACGTTGTGGCTGGATAGGACACACATTGAGAGAACCGGATAACAATATAACTAGAATGTCTTTGCACTGGAACCCACAGGGGCATCGGAATAAAGGAAGGCCAAAAAAAACACATGGAGAAGGGAGCTGGAGAATGAGAGAAAGATTGGAAGGACAGAGGGAGAGCTGCATGCGATAGCAAAGGATAGAACAACTTGGCATAAGTTTGGTTGAGGGCCTATGCTCCACTGGGGGTTAGAAAGGCAGAAGAAGAAAAAAAAGAAGGCTGCAGATGACGAAATCAACGTCTTGCATCCACACATAAAGAGTTCCTAAATATGCTTATTGTGTCAAGTTGGTCAGGCATTGAAATACATTTGTTCCTGCTTGGAGGTGTTGGTTTGATCCCCAGTACAGTAGCATGGCATGTCAATTGGTGTACCATACTGATTATGCAAAAGGAAGACGATCATAGCAATACAAATATTAAACAGCATTAAAAGTCTAAGGTTAAGCACCAGCAAAGATATCAAAACTAAAATTCTGAGAGCATGCCTCTTCCCCTGTAGCACCATACGGATGTGAGTTGTGGACTATCTCCCAGTCTTTAAGAAAGAGAATAGGGACTTACGAGCTGACATGCAAAAGAAAGATTCTCAGCATACCATGCAGTTTTATCTCAAACCCCCTAGTTATGGCCCACTGGTACTCCACAGGGGATATTTATTCCCCTAGCCCACACATGTAGGCAGTCTGCTGAGTAACCATCGACATGGCTGCTTCGAGATACCAGCTAAGTGGTTTTGTGTATTTGTGTGGTATTGTTTAATTTGTATGTGCTGAAGAAGGCTCCATAACCGCAACGTTCATGTTTTGTTTGTATTTGTTATATTGTAAGGCTTGCTAATATACTTTTCGTTCGGTTTTATATCTTTTCTTGACAAAGAAGAGAAGAAATACTGATATCTTAAAAGATCTGAACATCATGGAAGATTGGCTAGTAAACAGCATCCTGTCTCGGAAGCTAAAATATAGTGGCCATATCAAGCGCCATGCCAGACTGGAAAAAATAATAGTAGAAGGCATGGTACCAGTAAGGAGGGTAGGGCTGGCCAACACAAAGATGGGTACAGGATATGACTGTGGATATGAAAGTACATAAAGCAGGAGAGCTGATGAGAAACAGAGGTTCTTTTAGACAGACCCTGACGAGAGCAAAGTTCTGCATAGAACCTGCTACATACAATAAAGATGATGATTGACTATGCTCAGAATTACTGTTGTCAACCACATGAGGCTGCAATCACCACACATGAGGCTACAATCACCACACATGAGGCTGCAATCACCACACATGAGGCTGCAATCACCACACATGAGGCTGCAATCACCACACATGAGGCTACAATCACCACACATGAGGCTGCAATCACCACACATGAGGCTACAATCACCACACATGAGGCTGCAATCACCACACATGAGGATACAATCACCACACATGACTAGTCTCCAATTTGCACATTCCTTCTTGTCTCGGCATTCCGTAGCTGTAAACTCCAGCAGAAGGCTCTGGTTTGTCCACTTCCAGACTTTTACCTTGTTCCAGAACTTGAGTTTTGCAAGCACTTCTATTTTACACATCTGTTTTATTTATATGCAGACTTTTCTTTCCTATCAGGCAGAGAGTCGACTTGTACGACAAGCTTGTTTGGGGGCAGGGGGTCTATTTTGTTCCCCCCCTCCCCCCACACGAGGACAAACTGCATATGTTAACACTGGGTGGGTTATCAATCATATAACCACATTAATATGGAAAAATGGCAACATGTACATGCACAACATCAGTACAGAACTGCAACTGACATCTTCCTCCTCTTCTTCTGCGTTAAATGCTTACAATGACAGTTGGCATGTGGTCTTCCGACTTCCCAGTCTGTGACTCTTTGAAAATAAAACTTGTTTGTTCATTTGTGATTTACAGCTAGATTGCAATATCTGCGCCCTTCAGCCCAAAACACCTGATTTCAGCAAACCTCTAGTTATTCATCTTTTACGACATATTTGTTAGAGGTCAGTAAGACCCCCCCCCCCCCCCCACCCTTTTTTCCCCTATGTAAGGCCCTAGAAAACATAGAAGGAATGTACACCCCAAAACCATTCAAAAAATAATCTAGGCCCATTTTGATCTATATCCAATAGCATTAGGAGTTTATATATAGTCGACCAATCAACAAACAGTTTGCCAGGAAATTCTCAGAACATGAAATTTCTCTGGCAACAACATCTTCCAGTTTCCTAGTATCATCAGAGAGTGTTTACGTAAAATTCAATGACCACAACTGAACAAACCTGGATTGAACTGTTCGGCTGTGAATCGTGTGAACATGATACCGAAGCCTTCAATGAGAGCCAGAAGAACTCCTCCTGTTTCAGAGAACATGAAACAAATACTTTAATCTTTTTCTGTAACAATAATTTTGGTGAAAATTCCACTAAAACAATTTTCAAAACAAAGCTACATTTCCAATTCTCCTACTTCCAAAAGTGTTACTGTGGCCTCAAAAACAATGGTTTCAGTTAACTCCTCGTGTTTTTTCTTCGAGACAAATGTTTCTAGGGTCTGAGTTTCATTTTTTTTTTTTTACTGCCAGACCATTTTTTTTTAAATCTTGCAAATCTTCTAGGAAGAAAGTTAGAAAAAAGGATATGGTCACTCGATCTTGTGTATCATCGCCTGGAACCATGTTTCTTCAATATGTGGTCCCAGGAAATTTTCTTGACGGTCCGCCCAAATATATAGCAATATTATTAAAACCAAACAGAGAAACTGAATGTATGTTATTTCAGTGATAGTCTCCAGTCAAATTGTCCGCAGCAGCAGATGTCACATTAGCAAATAACTGTAATTAATTCTTCCCATTCACTGGCTTTAATCCCCGGCAGAAAGTTCTGGATTACTGGTAAAGAACTCGGACACATCTATTTACTAGATGACATTTTCACTGATGCTTGCACTGGCTGGTCAACGTTGCTCAAGATTAGAGGGGTACCCCGTGTACTGCTGCGTTCACAAAGCTTTCCGTGTTGTATATTAATAGTTCTGTGAGCAGCGGCCACCGACATTGCATTTTTACTCGTAAGCAGAATTAGTGTTTGTTGGTGGGTATATGACAGCTGTCAAGGATTTTCAGTAGGAAATGAGTTGATTCCAGCTGTCAGCGTTGTCGGCGCAAGAAGGGTAGCCTTGCATGTCTGCAGCAACACAGCGTTTTGCGGGCCACCGCAAAATGTTAAGAAGCCTGAAACCACATGACTAGAATGCACTCTCTTGTGAGACCTAGGTTCAGTGTGTAGGATAAGGGGGGTTGGGGTGAGAGCCAGCTGTACATGTTATGGGGTTGTTTAAAGCGCTGAGACTCCTGCCACTTAAACTTGCATGTCTCAAAGGGTAAGACGCATGAATGAACGTTTAATAAGAGTGTCCTGGCCCGCCTTTGTCACTCATATAGATGGGCCTGAGTTCATTACATATTTCAGTTCCGGTTGTTCATCCACCCCTGGACCTTGGTCTTGATCCAGATCTTGAGTTCCATGTGCACATCCATTTTACAGGTCTGAAATATTTGTATGCAGGCTGTTGGTTCTTGCTGCAGGCAGATGCACTCCGACTTCAAAGGCACATCTCCAATTAGTTGACTCTTATAACACACTTTGTTAGGGGTTAGTAGGCCTATCTCCACCCCCTCCCCCCAGAATGGGGCCTCGGAACCAACACACAAAAAATTTTAATTTTATAACGTGCTATTTAATTAACTGGCACAATATTTGTAGGCCCTGGAGTTGTTTAAAAACAGAATCCTCAGAATTTACTGAAGAGCCAAAAAGAGCAACCTAGATGTTTTGAAAGAAACAAGGGCACAACTTAGCGCAAACATGCAGTTGTTTTTGTTTCTGTCACAGCCACCAGAAATATCCATCCCCGCGTTACTGGTCTACGGGTGTAAAAATATTGAATACACACTGGCCTAGAATCTGTGCAGGCCTGACACCTCACATCCAAACAGCGGTAAATGGTAAATGTTTGAGGATTTCTTTCTTTCTTTCTTTCTAGGTAGCATGGCAAAGACACATAAACATGATTCCAAGAGATCCCCAACAAGTAAAATGAAATATACAAACTCACCTATCAATGCTGAGCCAATGATCGCCCCGGTGCCATCTGAGAAAGAACAAAAAAAACTATTACATAAAATCTCAAAAAGTATTGGCAATAATGATCCTGAAATTGCATGCTTTAACTGTGTAAGACTTCTCTTGCCACCAGCGGGTCTTGCTAGTCACACTCATCATCACCATGAGCTGTGGATCTTGCTGGTCACACTCTTCATCGAAACAGTCGTCACCAAACTATTTTGAGTTCTAAATCTCTAACTACAGTGTGGAATTATTGAGGAGACTTACTCCGAACCGAGAGAATTGCTCCTGTGAGGGCGCCACTAGTAATGGAATTCCATGGGTCCTCCTTCTTCCTCAGGTAAACCATGGAACAATCAATGGCAGAGAAGAGGCCGCCCCATACTGCAAAGTTTCCTGGAACATTTCAAGATCAAAATTATTTGAAACTGATAAAGGTGCTAAAGGGAGGACACTAAACAGGACTAGACTATGGCAAATTAACAATGTTGGAATTATGATGAAAACATAAATAACACATGAACAAACATGAAGGACGGTTCTGTGCTAACATTAGAGGTGTTGATGTTAGTAGTGAAATAATGACGCTCTGGAGATACTGGAAATAAAAAGAAAGCTGACAGATAGAAGTAGACAATGCAATCCTTTTGTCATGGTGTGTAGAAGTATCAGCCCATGAACTGATACATGTGGCTGGAGATCACAAGTTGTTGAGAGGCATGATCTCCCACGCCAGTTGGCAAGGCATTTGGCAAACACCAATCATCAGAGCCAATTATTAATAGGTGGACACACTGGACGTGAAAATACACAACAAAGGAGGGAATCTGAGGAACTGGATGTCCTTCCAGTAGGCGGGCTGAGTTGAGAGGGACATTCTGCAAAGGACCTGCTACATGATAACAGCAATATCACAACAATTATATGTTCTTGGCAGGACATGCTTTTGATAACTGTTGGCATTAATTTGTCATTTAGGAAGACATGCTTCTAGGGATGTTAAAATCAATCTACTATTTATCTGGACATTTCTATGGACTTTATTTGGGATGCAGAGATACTGAACCACACGTGATGTTGCAGATCTATACTGGTCAAAGCCTCTCTGCGTCTCTCAATGGTCATCCTAACAACAAACTCGCAACCATAAACTTGGCCGTCAATTTTTTCATCTGAAACCAGAGCCCTTCTGCTTGAAAGGCAAGTAACCGACAGTCACACACAAATAAGACATATCTAAAACTGGATGTGCAGGCAACAGAAGGCAAAAGTCAAGAAGAAGACAACCAAGATTTTCTGCCAGAGTTTATAGTCAGCGAATGCAAAGAAATTGGCTTTAACCACACAATGTTTGGAAGCGGGCTAATGTTTCTGGTCAGTGAATCTTTCTGGAGTCCATGAAGATCTGCCAGTTTGGTTCTGGTCTTTGACAGTCATTTATTGATGATGTTCCATGACAGTCATTTACTGATGATGTACCAAAGAGAGTCAAGCCACAGGTGTTGGACTGGGTTCCATCCATGGTACAGAAAACAGGAGAGAATAGAATGGAGGATTAGACTGCAAGCTCTATGTGATGTAGACACAACAAGAGGAGCAGGACAATACAGAGAGTAGTGCAGCTCTTGCTCTGGGTTTTGTATTGCCCCAGACAGACAGCTGCCATCTCACATGGGCTGTCCTTTATTCACAACAAGGCATGTGATCACACCACATAAATTCAAGCTACCGCTACATGATTGAAACAAGACGTGTAACCAACACTGTCACCTACCTCCCACTATTGGTGCTCGTTCTTTTAATGTGGCAAAACTGCTTATTAACCTTCTGTAGTTACCCTGCCAATGAAATAAAACAAAAACAATTCATCAATAACATATTTTTAAAACAATACACTACAACAATGCTACTTGCTAACTGTTATTCATATCAATCTAACATATTGGTTCAAACCACTCGTGCTCTGTCCCTGGATGCAGTAGCCAATTCAGTGTCTTAATGCTCACTGTACCCAGCTGTACAATAATGTGATCAATACAGATAAACAAATAAACAAGTTATTTATTCAGTTTGTGTGTGTCTTTTTTGGTATCCCAAGACCTTGCTTTTTTCATCTGTTCTAACAGAAAGAATGAACAACCTATGTCTGAAATGTCACATACTTATTATAATGCAGAGAAATCTACACAATGAACAAGTACTCAGACAGAACAATTGAGGCCCTGCAGATGTGCATATAAAGAAGACATGTATTTCATGGAGAGAAACAATTGAGGCCCTGCAGATGTGCATATAAAGAAGACATGTATTTCATGGAGAGAAACAATTGAGGCCCTGCAGATGTGCATATAAAGAAGACATGTATTTCATGGAGAGAAACAATTGAGGCCCTGCAGATGTGCATATAAAGAAGACATGTATTTCATGGAGAGAAACAATTGAGGCCCTGCAGATGTGCATATAAAGAAGACATGTATTTCATGGAGAGAAACAATTGAGGCCCTGCAGATGTGCATATAAAGAAGACATGTATTTCATGGAGAGAAACAAAACAGATTCTGAGCATAGTGAGAATGAAAAGTTTGTTGCTGAGAGAAATAGACAAGCCAAGCATTTCGTCCACATCTGAAAAAATACAGGAGGAAACAGACAGGAAAGTGGAAGAAAGCAATATAAATGACAGGATAACATCAAGAGATGAATGAACAGCAGTGTGTGTGTGTGTACAACCAATTCACAGGAGTGTACACTCTTGACAGACTGTTGAATGTCCACTGCAGCAAAACAATCTGCAGACAGAATCTGAACACGTGTGTGTGTGTGTACAACCAATTCACAGGAGTGTACACTCTTGACAGACTGTTGAATGTCCACTGCAGCAAAACAATCTGCAGACAGCTTCTGCACGTTCACCAGCTGTAAACTCCAGAGCACAGTTCTTGGTTTTCATTCGCCTCTGGACTTGAGTCTCGCTCCAGAATCTGAGTACACATCTGTTTCACAGATCTGTCTTATTTGTATGCAGACTCTTGGTTCCTTGCCTTCTAGGCAGATGTATCCGACTGTGAAGGTGCCCCAATTAGTTGACCCCTACAGCATGATTGTTAAGGAGTCATTGGGTCAATTCTTGTCTTCTCCACATGAGATGCAGACAGTACCTGACTGACTAGATCCAGATCACCGTTTTGATAAGCCAGCACAGTAACCACTACACAATCAGTTTATCAGAAGATAGCTGCTGGATCCAGATGGATTTTTTTCACAAAGGACCTTGACCCCCAGCTGTAAACAGGTACCAGGTATATTCCTGGTAAGTAAAGGCGGCCAGCATGACGCTGAACACATCATCGTCGAGGGTGAACTAGTCGTCTACACAAATGTGAATCTAGCACCATGATTCAACAAGGATCTCTTGTTACTTCACTCTAGGTGACTCGGGCATACACCCCCCCCCCCCCCCCCCAGGATATTTTCTTTTAAGTATCTGTTTATACATTTCATATTATTACAAATATACTTTTTGGCCATTCATTACATAATAATAATTATTATTATTGCACAAATGAACAAGGCTTAAGCTGTTGAGCTAACTATAGACAATTGTTTTCTTTGTAGTGGTCGTTCTTAAGGGAAGCAAGAGAAAAACAGCAGCTGTAGAATCAAGACACCTCCACAGTAGCAACAAGTAAAGCTACAGCAGGAACAACCTGCAACTGTGTCCTGTCGCAGCCTCTGACCTGTCAAAAAGTAAAACCTGGCCACGACATTTCTCTAATGATACACAACTTCATGTTGTACTCACACTGGGTGCATTTCTAAACCCTTTGATGCCGTGGAACAGTGATCCCCCAATTGCTCCCATGGAGAAGGCACCCCCACAATCCTCCACAATTCTCCATGGACTGTGAACAGAAACAGCATTTCTGTAATACTTGGAAAACTGCAGCCAGCAGTAATATGAAAATCATAATAAAAGCAAGGCAATAAAACAAAACCCTTTTGAAAATAAACAATGCTGAACACCTCCCTATCTCCTGAACACCTCATTATCTCCTGAACACCTGCCAAATCTCCTGAACACCTGCCAATCTCCTGAACACCTCCCTATCTCCTGAACACCTCCATATCTCCTGAACATCTCCCTAGCTCCTGAACATCTCCCTAGCTCCTGAACATCTCCCTAGCTCCTGAACACCTCCCTATCTCCTGAACACCTCCCTATCTCCAGAACACCTCCCTAGCCCCTGAACATCTCCCTAGCCCCTGAACATCTCCCTAGCTGCTGAACATCTCCCTAGCCCCTGAACATCTCCCTAGCTCCTGAACACCTCCATATCTCCTGAACATCTCCCTAGCCCCTGAACATCTCCCTAGCTCCTGAACACCTCCATATCTCCTGAACATCTCCCTAGCCCCTGAACATCTCCCTAGCTCCTGAACACCTCCATATCTCCTGAACATCTCCCTAGCCCCTGAACATCTCCCTATCTCCTGAACACCTCCCTAGCCCCTGAACATCTCCCTAGCCCCTGAACATCTCCCTAGCCCCTGAACATCTCCCTAGCCCCTGAACACCATATCTCCTGAACATCTCCCTAGCCCCTGAACATCTCCCTAGCCCCTGAACATCTCCCTAGCTCCTGAACATCTCCCTAGCCCCTGAACACCTCCCTAGCCCCTGAACACCTCCCTATCTCCTGAACATCTCCCTAGCCCCTGAACATCTCCCTAGCTCCTGAACACCTCCATATCTCCTGAACACCTCCATATCTCCTGAACATCTCCCTAGCCCCTGAACATCTCCCTAGCCCCTGAACATCTCCCTATCTCCTGAACATCTCCCTAGCTCCTGAACACCTCCCTATCTCCTGAACACCACCCTATCTCCTGAGTAATAATCATTCTGGGGAATTAGTTCTCATAATCAAGTAAACTAAACTTTGACACACAACCGAAGGCACTGTGTGACAGCATACACTGCAGCATGCTGTGGTTAGTGTGGCTTGCTGAAAACCACATAATACATTTGATGATGTACTTGGTAGTTGCGTATCCTTTACATGACGTTGCAGAACCAAACCCATAATTTTTTGACTGTTGTGGTTTTTCTATGCAAATTTACGTCCGGTAGTTTCTGGATGGTCAGCTTCTCAATACCACTGTCAAAACCAATGCAAGGCGCAAGGCCCGCAGCTGGGATCGAACCCGGCGTGTTCGCAACGCCTAAGCCACATACGCCGATATGTACTTGGTAACACACTTTTCAACTGACCCTCCACTTCTAGAAAGTAAAGCACCACTTTATGTTTTATGTGTAAAATTTAAGAGCGCCAAATTTGGGATCGCTGAATTGTATTACCAGTTTTATGTTCTCAACTTAGGAACTTGACGAACTACATCTTCACTCCCATGCATGATACTAACAAAAGCTCATTTTAAATGATTTTATAAATAATAATAACAAAACAAGAGTAAATTAATCCCCCCAACAAAAAAATCAGTGATTTCAAAACTAAATAAAAGCAACAATTTTAACACCTGAGTCTTATGGCGAGAAATTCAAAAGTAACGATAGACTAGAGTGTAGACACAACTTACCAGAATCCAACATTTGTGATTCATCTATCATCTATTATTATTAGTATTATGGTGCTATCCACTACTAAAATGTTAATATCTTTATGGAGAATTTACCTCAGGCTTCACTGAGGTATCATTGGATTAGATATTTTACTATCCGGCTTTGATAATTAGTAACTAACAAGGAGAAACCCAATATGAATATATAAAACCACACTGTCACTAGCATCCCTAGGTAGGCTCCCAAGCAATTGACATATTTTTAATATTTTTGTTTTAAAGCAGAATAATTTAAACAAATATAATGAATCCATGCAACTGAACTATTACTATTAAATATATTATTACTGTGTATTTGTTTCTGTGTGTATAGTTTACACACAAACAGTCTAACAACATACATCAGTCACTGAGTCAGTAAATGTAAAACTAACACTAACAACACGGCGAAAAGTGCACACACCTGCCCCTAGGGCTAGGCTTTATGGTCTAGAAGTGTAGACATCTGAAAGCGATACCATTATCTGGATTGTATTCTGAATTTTGCAGGTCAATCTTTACAGTTTTCAAAGTATGGAAATGTTGATATCACTTCAAAAACAGTTTCTAGTTCTCTTAGTCTTTTACACTCTTCTGTTTCTGTTGAGTGTGAGTGAACTTTAATTTTATGATGCAACCCAAACAAAACTTGAAAACACATCCCACCAAACGGTAAACCGTGCCCAAGAACAACAACGCACAATCACTAAGCTGTACTATCGCCTGAGATCAAGAAAGGAGACATAACACAATAAATACACTGCAACTATCATAGTGAAACCAGAAAGAAAGAGAAAGTCCACATGACACCTACCAAGGTTCCCGGGCGTAATCCTCCATTTTCTGCTGGCACGAGTGGCACAAGACGTGACCTTCTGTTGTCAGGCCGCGTTTTTCCCCATCCTCATGTCAAACGGCAACCAGCCTTTGACAGGTAACACGTCAGGGATGATGTGTACTCACTCCACTGCTTTATTATATATCAACTGCAATAATTTGACGAGCATTACATTATAAAGATTGCATGTATAAACAATAGCTCTTGAGTGGCTGCCTGACGGAACTTTCGTTTTGCCAAACTAAGAAGGAATATAGCTCTGAAGGTTATTATTTATATTTTGACTTTAACTTGTTATTATTTATGTCAAACCACTTCTAAAGAAAACCCGACGGGAGGCATTAAACAGAACGTCACAAGAAAAAAAAGTTTGCATTTGAGATGTTATAAACGCAATACAGGGATCCCATAGCACTTTAAACATTTCCAAAGATACATTACACAATATGATTATCGGAATCGTTTAGTTAGACAGTGTTTTAAAATATATTAAACCTAAAATGTACTCATACAATCGTTACATTTTACAGATAATCTTTGTAATATTAAATAACTAAAAGACATAGTTAATTAAAACCTCATCCAATGTGAGACGGATTTTTTTTTTTTATTTGATTAAAGCCCCACCGCGGCTGTAGTCGGGGTCATAATATAACCAAACGGCTAAACAGGGTTTCTGGGTCTTGTACCAGGGTTATCCTCACCCGAGTGGTGGCACTTTGCTTCACCAGCTGCTTATTGCTCGTTGTATGCTCCTAGTGCGGGTGAACGTTACTTACCTACCAAACACACACTGACAAGCAAAAATATCCAATGATGAAATAGAAAAACCAAGTGTACACTCCCACGAGGGTAAAGATTGCCTACTGAACAATCAAATATGTAATCTAACAAAAAGTAGTCTGAGAGATTGCAACAATCAGTAGTCTGAAAGACTGTGACAACCAGTAGTCCGAGAGAACTGTGACAACCAGTAGTCTGAGAGAAGGTAACAGGCAGTAGTCTGAGAGAATGTGACAAACGGTAGTCTGGGAGAATGTGACAAACGGTAGTCTGAGAGAATGTGACAAACAGTAGTCTGAGAGAATGTGACAAACGGTAGTCTGAGAGAATGTGACAAACAGTAGTCTGAGAGAAAGTAACAGGCAGTAGTCTGAGAGAATGTGACAAACGGTAGTCTGAGAGAATGTGACAAACGGTAGTCTGAGAGAAAGTAACAGGCAGTAGTCTGAGAGAATGTGACAAACGGTAGTCTGAGAGAATGTGACAAACGGTAGTCTGAGAGAATGTGACAAACGGTAGTCTGAGAGAATGTGACAAACAGTAGTCTGATGAGAGTGTAACATGCGGTAGTTAGAAAGTGGAAACAAACTCAACAGGAAAGAACAAACATCAATTTTTAGACTTCGGACTGGGCACTGTGGTCTTCGAGCACACCTGTACAGGATAGGCATAAAAGAATCTGCTGCCTGTGATACTGCAGTACTGCCCTTACCTCTCCCAGCAAAGACTGTGGATCTGGGCCAGGGGATCCACATTGCGAGAGAAGCTATGGAGGACCGGTGGCGACCTTAAACGCCCAATCCTATTTTTGACCCAGACGGGACTTAATGTGTAGCATGACTGATGTCGAACGCAGAAGAAGAAGAAGAAGAAGAAGGTAGTTAGAGAGCATGCAACAAACGGTAGGCTGAGAGAATATACAAGCAGAGTGAGAAAAAAAGCTGTGTGAGATCCACACACAAAAAACTCTAACCTAAGACGGCACTTGATTGAATTAGAGTTTGAGGTGGTTGGTTGTCCTCTCTTAACCGTGCCCCAGCATCATGGAGGAGGAGCATCTATTATTAATTACTGAGGATCATTTGGGGTTTATTTGTATTTGTCTACGGCAGTGATTCCTAACTCTTTTAACTTGCGGATCTATTTTTAGAAACGACATCTATAGCAACACCACTTCCCCCGTCTCCCGATCCTCTAGGATAACGGCATCTTATGTTTTATAGGTAGGTCAAAGGTGTTCACAAGAAATGTTACAGAGAAGATGAAGAATGGGGGGGGGGGGGGGGGATAGTGAAGGAATATAAAGAAGAGATATTTAGCAGTGGAAACCTTCTGTTTCCACGCACAATTGTGGCAGTTTTTCCATGCAATCATGGATTCAATTTGCTAAGAGTGAGTGAGCACCTATTATTAATTACTGAGGGTTTCATTTGTAATAGTCAATGGCAGTGATTCCTAAAATCTGCTAACTTTGCAGATCTATTTTTAGACACGACATCTATGTGAGCAAAGCAATGACTGACACATTCAGCTCTAGATCTAGGTAGGGTCTCCATGTGGCAAATGCTAAGCACAGGATGGACGGCATGTTTTGTCCTTGTCTGAGGCAATTTGGCCTCCTATCTACCTCTGTGATCAACATCATCAAGTGTCTTTACACAATGAAGGAAAGCTGTAATTGGTCGCCAAAAACATATGCTCGGGGGGTTTCGATAGTGAAGGAGTCTAAATGCCGAGATATTACAGCAGTGGTGACAAAGCCTTCTTATTTTCCTTAAGCACAATTGTGGCCCAATGGTTTTACGCAATCCCTGTAAAAGATTTCAATTTGCCCCCTAAGAAAAAGGGCGCAAAAACGAGGTTGAGATTGCTAGTCCATAGTCTTCGTCATTTTCAAATACACGCAGTCAATAGTGTAGTCGGTAATGTCCATGCAAATAAGCGGCTTTGAAACCTCAATGCATTTTTATTTAAACAGACCTGGTCAACGAGTCGATCCGACAAGATAGTCACCCTACTCCGATGTGAAGTTCCCAGAAATCATAACTACAAGAATGGCTTGCGCAGGACAAGAGCGCTGATATGATTGGGTATACGAGATCGTGTGAGCTGGCAACTAATCAAGTAATAGAAAGTGTATTGATCGGCACTCATAGAAGGAAGTAGAAAGATAGAAGAACACACTAGACAACATAAAAATAGAAAGCTATAGTTACCGTGCCGGGAATTGAACCTGTCACCCCCAGACGGCGTGTGCGCCTCGCCATGGATACAAGTGCACTAAGAACATGGTCAATCAGGCACCCCCAAAATACAGGTGTCTTACTGGCCATGTCTATCGTACAGCTTGAAATCCACAACTATGGAATACGGTCAGAATTCTTTTCAAACCATTTAAATGGCACCATAGGTTACAAAACTTTATATTAAAGAAGCTTATGTCGAATAACAATCACAGCAACAACAGTAACTAGAACTTTCCGCTGGAGTTTACAGCCGGTGAATGCGAAGATGGTTACAGCCTTCGTTTATCTGCGGGCACATGACGATATCACCCCCCCCCCCCCCCCAGTATTCTACACGTTTTGAAGGGAGCTGCGTTAGTCTAGTAGAGACACGATCGCCTGCTAACTCCAAAGACTTGGGTTAGAATCGAGTCGGATTTTTGTTCCAAAGATGACCTTGACTACCAGTCTAACAGGGGTACGAGGTCAAGTCTTGGGGCAACCGGCGAAATGCAGATCGCCTCACCCAGCAAATGCTGATTGAGACAAGGAAACAACTACACAAACTTTGAAAGCATACTATGAGAAAGACTCCTCCAGGCCGCCACAATTTTTAAACATGGCACAGAGTTGAAATGCATGATCTCAAGATTTGCATTTAAACTCGGGGTTTACCACATGGTATTCCTACAGCTGGCTGTAGATATCATTCAGCCAACTTCCAATCTGGAGACGGAAAATGTTTTTTTTATTAAATGATACAGAGGAAACAATGAGTCAACATTCATGACAGTCTTTTGTCACAGCATAGATGGATGTCAGGGAAGACAGCATGGATGGGTGTCAGGGAAGACAGCATGGATGGGTGTCAGGGAAGACAGCATGGATGGGTGTCAGGGAAGACAGCATGGATGGGTGTCAGGGAAGACAGCATGAATAGGTATCAGAGAAGACAGCATGGATGGGTGTCAGGGAAGACAGCATGAATGGGTGTCAGGGAAGACAGCATGGTTGGGTGTCAGGGAAGACAGCATGGTTGGGTGTCAGGAAAGACAGCATGTATGGGTGTCAGGGAAGACAGCATGGTTGGGTGTCAGGGAAGACAGCATGGTTGGGTGTCAGGAAAGACAGCATGGATGGGTGTCAGGGAAGACAGCATGGTTGGGTGTCAGGGAAGAGAGCATGGTTGGGTGTCAGGGAAGACAGCATGGATGGATGTCAGAGAAGACAGCATGGATGGGTGTCAGGGAAGACAGCATGGATGGGTGTCAGGGAAGACAGCATGGTTGGGTGTCAGGGAAGACAGCATGGTTGGGTGTCAGGGAAGACAGCATGGATGGGTGTCAGGGAAGACAGCATGGATGGGTGTCAGGGAAGACAGCATGGATGGGTGTCAGGGAAGACAGCATGGATGGGTGTCAGGGAAGACAGCATGGATGGGTGTCAGGGAAGACAGCATGGATGGGTGTCAGGGAAGACAGCATGGATGGGTGTCAGGGAAGACAGCATGGATGGGTGTCAGGGAAGACAGCATGGTTGGGTGTCAGGGAAGACAGCATGGTTGGGTGTCAGGGAAGACAGCATGGATGGGTGTCAGGGAAGACAGCATGGATGGGTGTCAGGGAAGACAGCATGGATGGGTGTCAGGGAAGACAGCATGGTTGGGTGTCAGGGAAGACAGCATGGTTGGGTGTCAGGGAAGACAGCATGGTTGGGTGTCAGGGAAGGACCTGATACATGCTCTAGGACAGTGGTACTCAACCTGTTTTTGTTTTTTTCGAACGACTTTTTCACAGGGGTAGCCAAAGACCATCATCATCATCATCATGTAGCACGTCCTTTGCAGAACGTCGCTCTCATCACAGTCTGCCTGTAAGAAACTCGGTCTCTTGCCAGTTTTCCCACCTCATGAACTTTCACACTCAACGAGTCACTTATATCCTGTACCCATCTTCGTGTCGGTCGGCCCCGCCCCTCCTTCCTGGTACCATACC